TCTCTGGCTAAAGGTACATCACTTAAACCTTGTAATCATTGCTTATTGGGTAAGCAACATAGAGTATCTTTTCAGAAGACTCTTGATAGAAAATCAGATATACTGGATATGGTATATTCTGATGTTTGTAATCCTATAAAGGTTGAATCGATGGGTAAAAATAAATACTTCATTACTTTTATTGATAATGCTTCAAGAAAGGTCTGGATCTATCTCCTGAAACCAATGGCCAGGCATTCCAGGCATTTTAATCATTCTATACAATGGTGGAAGGGAGACAGGCCGAAAGCTGAAGTGTCTCCAATCAGACAATAGTGGAGAATATATCTCAAGAGAGTTCGAAGGATATTGCTCTAACCATAAGATCAGACATGAAAAAACTGTTGCTAGAACACCACAACACAATGGTGTGTCTGAAAGAATGAACCGCACTATTGTTGAAAGGGTGAGAAGCATGCTCAGAATGGCGAAACTGTCTAAGTCATTCTGGGGGTGAAGCAATTCGCACAGCCTGCTATATCATCAATAGAAGTCTATCAGTTCCATTGGGATTTGATATCCCTGAAGAAGTATGGAGAGGCAAAGAAGTGTCGTACACTCATTTGAAAGTGTTCGACTGCAAAGCTTTTGTCCATGTGCCGAAGGAGCAGAGATCGAAGCTTGACGATAAAGCTATTCCCTGTGTCTTCGTCGGATACGGAGATGAAGAATTTGGCTACAGACTATGGGACCCAAAAAAGAGGAAGATTATCAAGAGCAGAGATGTGATCTTCCGCGAAAATGAGTTTGGAGTTGATACCCAAATAGAGAAGGCCAAAAAGGAGAATGGTATGATTTCACATGAAATTACTATTCCATCTCCGTCAAATCATGCCACAAATGGAGAAGATATCATACCAAAAGAAGTTGATGACGAGGTTGAAGAGCTAGAGGAACAATAACAGGAGGAGCCAAATGATCAACAGCAGGGGGAGCAAACCCACCCTATCAGAAGCAGCAATACTACCTCTCAGGCAATCTGAACGAGAAAAAGAACCATCATCCAGGTATTCGTCTTTTGAGTATGTTCTTATTACTGAAGAGGGAGAACCGGAAAATTTTCAAGAAGTACTAACTCATCTAGAAAAAGACAAGTGGATGGGAGCCATGAAAGAAGAGATGAACTCTTTGTGGAAAAATGGCACGTACAAGCTGACTGAACTTCCAAAAGGTAAAGGACCACTCAAATACAAATGGGTCTTTACAATGAAGAAAGATGGAAATGGCAAGCTGGTCAGACACAAAGCTCGATTAGTGGTCAAAGGGTTCGGACAGAAGAAAGGAATTGACTTTGATTGATGAAATATTTTCACCAGTTGTGAAAATGACTTCTATTCGAACAATTTTAAGCTTAGTAGCTAGCCAAGATTTTGAATTGGAGCAGTTAGATGTTAAAACTACATTTATTCATGGAGATTTGGAAGAAGAGATCTACATGGAATAGCCAGAAGGATTCGGAGTCAGAGGGAAAGAACACATGGTGTGCAAATTGAATAAGAGTCTGTATGGATTAAAGCAGGCACCAAGGCAATGGTACAAGAAGTTCGACTCATTCATGAAGAGTCAAGCACACAGGAGAACTCTTTTCAGATCCATGTGTATACTTCAAAAGGTTATCTGACAACAATTTTATTATTTTGTTGTTGTATGTGGATGACATGTTGATTGTAGGACGTAACGCGGAGCAAATAACCAAACTGAAGAAAGACCTATCCAAGACTTTTGATATGAAAGACTTGGGTCCTACACAACAAATCTTGGGGATGAATATTGTTCGAGACAGGAAGGAGAGAAAGTTATGGTTATCTCAAGAGAAATATATTGAGCGTGTTTTGGAGCGCTTCAATATGAAAAATGCTAAACCAGTTAGCACTCCTCTTGCTAGTCACTTGAAGTTGAGCAAGAAGATGTGTTCTACAATAACGGAAGAAAAATAGAAGATGGCTAAAGTTCCCTATTCCTCAGCAATTTGGAGCTTGATGTATGCCATGGTCTGTACCAGACCGGATATTGCTCATGCTGTTAGAGTGGTTAGTCAGTTTCTTGACAACCCGGGAAAAGAACATTGGGAAGCTGTACAGTAGATATTTAGATATCTGAAAGGTACGTCAAAGGCATGTCTATGCTTTGGAGGGTCAGATGCAGTCTTAGAAGGTTTTACAGACGTTAATATGCAGGTGATCCTGATCATAGAGAAAATCCACTTCTGGGTTTGTATTTACTTTTTCAGGGGGAGCTATATCATGGTAGTCAAAGTTGCAAAAGTGCGTTGCACTATCAACAACTGAAGCTGAGTACATTGTTGCTACAGAAGTAGGGAAAGAAATGATTTGGCTGAAAAGATTTCTACAGAGATTGGTCTGCACCAAAAGGAGTATGTAGTCTATTGTGATAGTCAAAGTGCAATAGACTTAAGCAAAAACTCCATGTATCACTCACGACAAAAGTATATCGATGTGCAGTATTATTGGATAAGAGAGCAGGTGGAAGATAAGTCATTTTATCTGAAGAAGATCCCCACTGACAAAAACCCTTCGGATATGATGACTAAGGTGATTCCTCGTGACAAATTCGAAATGTGCAAGGAACTTGTCGGAATAAGTTATACTTAGAAGTATGGTAGTGATCTCATCCTAAAAGCATAGATCTAGAGGGGGAGATTTGTGAGGTTCAACTCCATAGTTTAATGACAAAAAAGGGGGAGGCTTGCAGCTGCATGTGCAGCCGTAATCCTCCAATTTTGACAAATGGAGAAAGTAGCCTACATTGTTGAACAGCTTGAAGATTTCTCTCTTGGCTGCTGTTGCGGCTGCAGATTGTTTTGACAAATTGAAGAGCTAAAGCTGGAGCCAGTTGTCGGGGAAGAAAATGTTCGGCCTTCCTCTCCTATAAATAGAGGAAGGCTTGGCATCCTTTCTGCACACCAACGAAGAGAGGAAGAAGAGAGTTGGAGAGAGACTCTCAAGTTAGAGAGATGGTGAAAAATATTCTTTTGTATAAGGGTGAGGTTATTGTACCGAGGGTGTTACAAAAGTGAGAATTCTTTTGTAAGTGGTATTTCGAGTTGGCAAAAATACTCAAGAGTCCTGTGTAAATTCCTTCTTATAGTGGTGATATTTTTCCCTCTTATCCATGGTTTTTCTCGATTTGGGTTTTCCACGTAAATCTTGGTGTTTATATTTTACCCCCTCCTAAATTTATTGTGAGTGTATTTTTTATCAGTGGGTGTGCTGGCCCCAACAAGTAGCATCAAAACACCTTCGGTCCTGACAGTCTCCAGGGTGCACGAGTAGAAGAGGCACCAAACCTTCATGGAATCTATAAAGATTGGAAATGCTTGTTATTGTGATGTAGTAAAAGAAGTTGAATTTTATTATGATTAGATTTACGAGTTTTATCAGGTTGTTTTTATGTTTTAGGACAACCGAAGCAAAGGCAGATAAAGGCTATGTTTGGCTTCCCATTCTCAAATCCCTTGTAGCAAACAGGAACAGGTGACATAGAGAATAGATCCTTGCAGGAGGATTAGGTGATGATGCGTAACACTAACGTGGTGGGCTCTGCTCCATGCAGATATGGAGGGCTACCTCTGGAGAATCCAGTCTATGCGGGAACTGGTTCAAGGTTTCTTAGCCAATTGTTTGGGCACTGGATTCTACTCTAGATCAGGCGAGCATCTGTCAGTTGGAGCACCAGCTGTGTCGCGTTAAGCTCACTTTTGGCCATTTGCCTTGAACTTTGAGGCGGTTATGACAACACAGAACCGCCAATGGGAATGACCTAGTCGGCAATGTGATGGGTATATGGCGGTGATCGTGCTGGCATTAGAGGCTGGTGTTTGTTTTGCCATGGATATGGCAAATGTTGGGGCTTTTCTGGGCAGGAATTTTCTGGGTTTTATTTTTCTTGGTGAGGAATTCTTAATATAGACAGATATCACATCTTATCCTCGGTGGATACACAGAATTGTGTGTGCATGAGAGATAAGACAAATATTATATTAATATATCGTTTGTGGGTATTGTATCGGATCAGAGTCTTTTCAGTAAGTTTGTCGGCTTAATGTCTACCGTTGACAGCAGTCCACTCCATAACATGTGTGGGTGTGTGTAAATTAAAGTAGTCCTTCAAAAAGGCCAAAGCGGAGATGGTTCTCTGACTTGGCTGGTGGTGGACAGACAACATAATTTGAAAGGGGCCAAAGCTGAGATGGTTCTCTGACTTGGCTGGTGGTAGACAGACAACATAGTTTTGGAACTTAGTTCAAATCATTGGTTCCTGTTATCGGATTGCAAGGTTAATGGGCCATTTCATCGGCCGCATATATTTTGTCCTTAACCCAACTTTTTATGATTTAAAAATAGGTGGATTTTTGATACTCTTAAATGATTTTTTATGCTTTGATGTCAATGTCCACGTGGCAGAGCCCCCTATTAGCAGGTTAATTAATTAAAAGCAACTTTAATTCGATCTGTTGCTTATTGGCAATAATTAATTAACGTGTACTTAATTAATAAATTATTTTTAATTAACATCTGTTTTTTGGCGACGTCATCTTAATTTGATCACCTATATTTTTCTATCGAGATATTTTCATTACCATTTTACTGTATCCTGGAAAGTAACAAAATAAAAATTGAATAGTGCAAAAATATCTTTTACAATTATTAAGAAATTAAATAAATAAAATAAAAATATTTCAAAATTTAACTTTTAACTTTTTTTTCAAACATATTAATATATATCAATACAAACAAAATAAAAAGAAATGAAATTAAAAACCATTGTTTATTTTTCTGTTGGTTACATGGTAATTGGGCCACAATTGCAAGCAATTACCACATTGCGCATCCCTTGTTTAATCATAATAAAATATGCAACCTAAACTTGAGAAACAACTAGATAGCTAGATAATCATTAACAAAACTATTCCGAAATCCAAACAGGCCTCTAGGAAAATACTAGTTCATCAACTTTTGCACAGAAGTATCTCCAGGAACCACAAGCTGCAACTGCTGCTTGGTCTTCTCACCGTTGTTGTTCTTCTCCACATCCACGACTTGTGTGGTTCCTCCATTACTCCCTTCTCCTATACTTGCAGTAAACCAAAAGCTGGAGGACCGCAAGAGGGCAGCCAACCAGACTAGGAGACTGGAATTAATATTTCCAGGATTGAATTAGAAAATTAATTATTCAATTATAAAATTATTATGAAATTTAAAGCAATAATAATATCATACAAACCGCAAGAAAGATCGCGGCTCAGAAACCCTAAGCCAACCATATCGAGCTTGCTAGGAATGAGAAAAATGACAAGTAGAATGGCATGAATTTAACGCTCTTTGTTTGTATAACTTTTTTCTGCATTGCCAATAACATTCAAAATAATTAGAAATATAAAATATCAAAAAAATGCTATATAATAATTTACCATCATTCTTATTGAAAAAACAATTTTTTTTTTTTTTTTTTTTTTTCGCGTATATAGAGGCTTGAGGATGTGAAGATTGAGCATGCATCAGATCTCGTGCATGCATTACGCATATACATGCATGGACAAGGTATATATTTACCTAGGTGCCAACTTTGGGTGTGTTTGGTTGTTTAAAATTTGTATTTTCAGTTTTTTTATTTAAAAATTTATTACTTCTAAACTTTTATTTAGAAAGTCATAAGGTAAAAAATTATATATACATGACCCAAAAAAATCAAACAACCAATGAGACCTTAAAATGTCTTTAAATTGGAATTTGATAAGAAAAAAGTGGAGGTAAAGATGGAAAGAAACATATGAGCTCACCACAGCCACCAGAGGAGACCCATACATTGACACACAGGCCACCAGTCCCACACTCCCTATGAATACCTTGCGTCGATGGTGATCATGGAACACGAAAGCTGATATTATTGCCGCCGCGCAGGAAACCAGGATAACAGGTATTGCTAACATAGCTACCTTCTTCTGCACCATTAATTGCCATGTAAAAAAGTTGGTAACTATTCATAAATGCCACAAACTGCACTCATGGATAAATAATTTGTATATGTTTATGAGCACACACATTAATTTGTTACCATCTTCTGCGCCATTACCATGCAAAAGTTGGTACCATTTCATAAAAGTAGCTTATAAGACACTTGAAACCTTCTCCATCACCATTACCACCATTACCATGTAAAGGCCGGTATCCTTTCATAAAAGTGATTTATAATCAAAAGCTACTTAATTAAAAAATTTCTAACTGCAGTCACGAGCTGTAAGAAAAAAAGGGGATATTTTGACGATTAATCTGTCACAATGGGCCAAACAAAGCCTATTGCCAACCAAATTGTCTAAAGTAGAAGTATCAATTCCTTTTATATATGTGTGTGCGTTCAAATCTTTCTATATTTTCATACTATTATACATATTTGTTTTGGTTTTGATTTTGATTTTGATTCTTTATCAGCTGCGTACCAAGAATAAGACAGACTGGAAATTATATATATAGCTTGCCTTTCCTCCAACTGAAGCAAACCGAAAATATGTGATAATGAAAGAGAGCTCGAGGAGGACCCCGAGGCCATTAATGGTGACGAGAGAAAAATTTTCCCATCCGCAGCTCACAACAGGCAATCCATACCAAGTGTATAAGAAGCAATTCGAGAAAGCAGTGACGTAAGGGACGCATGAGAAGTCCTCAGTGCTTCTCTTTCTTATAACCTTATGAAAAGTTAATCTGTGAAGAAAAAAATAAATTTAGAAACTAAAGGGGTTAATTATCAAGATAGCAGAAGAGTGTGTGTGTGTGTGTGTGTAAGGACAACTTATAACATTACATTGGGGCAGCATAAAGTAACAGAGAAGCCGCATTCCTGCAATAACACCAAGAAGCTCCTTTTAATCAAGTCAACAAATAAGTTCTTTTGCTCTTTTAAATCAAATTTTCTAGAAGTAATGAGTACCCATCACTCCAGCAGCCAAACGCACCCTACCATCTGCCATGCCTCGTCAAATAAATGGTCCCGAGAGAAAGAGAGAGTGAGTTGAGGTTGGTTCCACTGTTGAGAAGCCTTGATGAAGTCGGGTATAAATAGTTGAAGATGGATGGCAAGGAATAATAGAAAATTGAGTTTTTCTTTTCTCTTCTTAAGGAGAGAGAGAGAGAGAGAGAGAGAGAGAGAGTGCTGTCTACGTCCCAAGGAACTTGTGGAGGGAACTAGCCTCCATATCGGCCATCTGCTTCAATTTGTTTAATGCAGTCGTGGACCTTCCAAAAATAATCTGGGTTAGGTTTTGAAAAACAGCAATTCACCGAACATTTATGTGTATGTTTGTGTAAAATAAAGGAGGAATTATTTATTGGCAAATGATTCTCTTATGAGTGGAACATGTCACAAGACATCCACTACCCACTCGATGCGAATCATTTCAGGTGACAATAAATGCCATATTGGATTCTTGTGGTTGAGAAACCTTGCCGTGATTCTTCATTGGGCAGAAATATTAATTAATTTATTTTTTCTACAGCACAGATAGATGCATTGCCATTATTAGCCCCATCATGCTTGTTCCTAATGCTACCTGCCACAGTTTGCTTGCTTATGGTTTATGTAGTTTTGGCATGGGTATATTAGGAAATGGAAGGTGCATCCTAAAGCAATGTAATAAGTGACTTAATTTGCTCAAGATTTGTAGGCCTTTTCGTGGGTGGAAGGCATCGGACTCTATTTTTGAACCAAGCCGCAGGATTTTCATCTTTTTGCCCAGCCCAACTATTGGCCAATAGTCTGTATTTAATAGTAGGAATTATTCAATAGACTGAAAGCTTTAATATGTGTTAAATCATAATCATTAATATTTAACAGATACTTGAAATTCTAATCTAGTAAGTTAAAAGTTAACATCAAATAAATTGATTAATTTGTATTTTATTTGATATTAAAAACTAACTTAATGGTGGAATTTTTGCAAATTGGTAATTTATAGTACATGGATTAAATTCACCATTTTTGTATATTTTCTGCATTTTATCAGTAATTTTGGAAATCTAGGGTTTTGTAAATCCATGGGGTTTGATGCTTGTTTATGTAAATAAGAGAGGGGATTTTGGGGGTTTTTGGTTTCTTCCATGGAAGGGCAGGCTGGAGTTGGTTAGGGCTGCGATCTCAAAGGGTAGTGCAGATGGGTTTTGGAGGATACCAAGATTTTGATTAAGTTCTGGGGTGTCTTCGTTAGCCTTTGCTCATCTGGGGTTCATGGTCGGAGTTGGTCCGGAAAGGATCCTCAGGAGCAAATTCAGAGGACGTCAGCTTATCTTCTAGTGTTCACCTCTAGCCCAGGGTGTTTTCTTTTGGTATCTGACAGGTTTTCTTTTACTGTATATTGTCTCAGGTTGAATATGGCTCTTACTCAGTCTATAATTAAAGTTCTGTGAATAAATTTCTCAATCAAATGCAATGAAATGTAGTCTGTTTTCCAAAAAAAAAAAAAGACAAAAATTAAATACATATAAACATGTATTTTAATCTTATAAATTTAAAGAAATCTCTTGACGTTTCTAGAGGATATTAGGCGACTTCTTTCTTAAGCAGAATTTTTTTTGTTGTGTGGTCAGGCGCATCCAAGTAACTTCGTTTTAAAGGAATAAAGAGAGGTGCCACACATGTTAAAATGATTTCCAGAGCAAGAGAGGAAAAACCCTTATTACTTTTTTTTTTTAAATTGAGAATCAATTAATTGGCTGAAATGATTTTAGTGGATTGCGTCGCAGAGAAAACAAAAATCAGTACTATTCCTGGGTGCGTTGTAATTTGTATTGCTGATGCTTTTAAGCCTTCAATTTGGAGGAATTGAGTTTGCTAGAACAGGACCCATGTGAAAGGGGTAATCAAGTCTTGCGTGAAATGGGAATTCTTAAGAAAGTCTTTTTCGATGGAGGAAAAAGTTAGACTCTTTTTGATGGAGGACAAGAGCCATTTGCTATATATCCATGATGGTGACCTCAGCACATTTTCATCTGTTGTTTCCAATGTTCATCCGATCTAATTGCTTCAACTTACCATTAAAATTCTACATCCTTAACCAAACAATTGCTATTCCGATGCCTTATTCTAATACCCTCTTCTCCTGCCCTAAAGTTCCTCTGTTACAGTCACAAACATGTCTTATTGCAACTAACATAACCTGTTCAAACACAGTCATATCATGAATCAAACCATGATGATCATTATCCAAGAACTTCATCTCAAAAAGCAAAAGAAAATGAATGGATTGATTGTAGTTTATCATTCCATCCATGATTTGGATTGTACATAACAGATGCCCTCTGGGGTGAGAATATCATTCTATCTTGAGGAGAATTTTAGGGTTGAAGATGCATGTATGATGGGAAATTAATGTAAGAGCTAGCAGTGGTAATGGCATATAAATGAATTTCACAGGCATGCAGAATATATTCTCCTGTTGAAGATGTGTACGTACATAGCATGTGCATCATATTGGTTGTACTTCAAGCTTCATCTCTACTTTTCAGGGATAAACCCAAAGCCAATAATATAGCTAGGTTGGTTGTTATAGTCCTAGTCAAATTATTAATTATCAATTAATTGTAAAATCTTAAGCCATTTTTCAGTTGCTTTATTTGAACATTATTTTTCCACGGATTTTGTTCTCAACCGAAAAAAAAGAAAAGAAAAAAGACGAAAAGAAAATTGCCAGTGTGTACTAAATACCCAATATTACAAGTTTTATAATGATAATTCCAATAGCAAACCTGCAATTAATTACTTTATGAAGAATATAAAAGTATTTCACAGTACTTTTAACCTTATAAAGAAACTTAAAATATCTTTTATATCCATTTTTTATAACACATATATTATATTGATCCGAGAATTAGTGATTTTAATAAATTATTAAAATTAAATTATTAGTTCAAAATATTTAAATTTAAGTTATCTAATACTAACTCTTATAAATGTTATATATTTACATGATATCATGTTTGACAATTAATGTAGTACAAATATAATAAACAATATTAATTTAAAACTAGGGGCAGCGGAAAATATCAGTTGCTTAATAGTAATCAGTTACCTTTCTTTAGCGATAAGGAAGTCACACTTCCATACACTATAATATAACGGCGACTATCCACCAAGGGAATACCATGGTTAAAAAATCACTCCATTTCCTGCCTAACCCATTAACCATGATTACTTTGCAGCCCGCCTACCAATCCCTAGTTTAATCTCCTGAAAATTCCTCCTCTTGATTGTCTTTCGTCCAACCAGACAAAATCTCAAGTCATTTGGTTGCAAATCGAAAGTTAGCCGACCATGAGGCATTTAGAATATTTACTTATTCGGCCAACCTAGACGAAAGATGCATGATGACGTTGGAACATGGCATATATATGTCACGCAACATGTACCAAACTAAGCTAGATATTTTTTGAAAGTTAAAAAAGAGATTTTGAGTGGTTGTAATTATTTATACCATAAATATCCTTTGGCTGACTTTCAAGAGTTGGCATTTAACAAGCATTGCATGTGCGATTTGATTCTCTCTTAGATATTTTAGTAGAACATATTAGAAAAAAATTCTTATTCCATGGTATTAGACTAGACAGAAAACTTTCCTATATTTTTTTTAATTTTAAAATTATAAGTCAATCCTCTTATTACCTCGTAAGTTTTATTTTAATTCCTTAACTATGATTTCTCTTAAATTGATTCATTGAATATTCAAATGGCATTATTATGATATCCAACCTAAATTTGGTCAAAATTGTTTAAATAGTTAGGGAGAAATTATTTATAAAGTCACATAAAGTTGTCAATAAATTATATTTAATCCAAATTTAATTTAAATTCGATAAATTTTATTATTTAAATTTGATTAAAATATTTGATAAATTATATTTGATTATAAATAATTGTAATCTGAAATAAGTGGATCAGATATAAAATTAAACAATCTGATCCATTAAATATTTGAATCCGAACTTCATTAATATTTTTTTATTAAAATTAATAATCTTATATATATAATAAATTCAATAGGAATTAAATTAAAAAAATTAAAAATTGAGAGACTAATATGATTGATAGAATAGAGTTAAAAAACTTAAATATAAAAAAGTATTATTTTTTTGTCAAGTCGAATTTTCTTAATAAATTTAGAGTATAGTTTAACGACATAAATTTTATAGGATTTTAGATCGAACTCGGATACGAAAATAGGTAATTAGATTCAGATTTATTTAATTTGATTTAAATCTGACTTATTTACAGCTTTAAAATCACATTTAAATGAAGTGACAAGGTAAGAAAAGATAAATTTATCTTATCTTATTACGTGTATGGCAAGTATATAACAAGTTTGAAGGAAAAATCATAATAAAAATAAATATTAGGTATAAGAAAGATACCATTATATTCCATACATGATTAAAAGCTAAATTTGAGTAATATCTGCGGTTGTCAAATTAGTCGGCACTCAAGCCTCAACACCAATGTTCTCAACTGAGGGGCTGTTCGGTTACTTTGATAAGGTAGGATAAGATAAACTTATCTTGATTTATCACGCGTTCCATTGTCCTGTAACAAGGCAGGATAAAAATATGTATCAGAGTATGGGAGAAAAGTTATCAGTTGTTTTTTGGTGGATAAAATTTATCCCCCCTGATAAGCTAATTTTTTGGACACAAATGCCCTTCAAATCTCCTCCTTCACATAACCAGTCTTCGTCCTCCTCCACGAGCGTAGATGGTGATCCACGAGCGTAGAGGCAGACGACTCGCAATCGCCTACCGTGGCATCGCCAAAGCTTCTGGAGCTCGTCCATGGCGTCTAGCATGATTTGAAGACCCAGCTCCTCTTTACCCACGAGCCTAGGGAGGGAAGCAGAGGGAGGAACACTTGCGCCACCGCCGGCATCGCCAGGCTCGATCGACCTCAGCGGTTGCTGTTTGCGCCCACTGTTAGCTTTTGGAGGTCATT